CGCTCTCGCCTACACCAGCTACGTGAGCGCCTGCTCGCTCGGCCAGTTGCGCTGCTTCCACGGGCAAGTGACGGGCGGCGCCTGCGCCGACGGCCAGCTGGCCTGCGACGCCTCCTGCCAGCTGGGCAGCGCTAGATGCGGCGCTGTGTGCTACGACATTGACAGGCAGCGCTGTGACGGTAACTCGACAGGGTTTTCCCAGCAGGTGACGTTCTCATTGGACAAACGCAGGAGTGTTGGACTGCGCCGCAGGCGARGACGAGCTGGGCTGCCGCCCGCAGGACTGCCCCGCGCAGGTCAGCTGCCCCGGGCGCCCCCAGTGCCTGCGCCGCGCGCAGCTCTGCGACGGCCACCCGGACTGCGCAGACGGCTTCGACGAGTCCACCTGCCCCAAGGCCCCACCCGAAATCAGCTACCTAGCCGGCATAGCGCTTGCGCTCCTGCTGCTCCTGTTCACCTACTTGAGCTGCCGCTGCTGGCGGCGGCGCCCCCCGCCGGACAGCCCCCTGGACGTGCCCCTGCCCCCCTTCCAAGGTACCCCATACTCAATCTAGCAAAGTGAGGGCTTCAGCGCGCAGGCCCCGGCGAGGAGGCGGCCTCGACGGAGGCGCAGCCGTTCAGCGACGCGGACTTTCGGCCGGGCGGCGACATCTACGAGAGCTTCGCGGCGAACTTGGCGAAGATCAAGGGCAGGCGGGCGCAGCAGGAGGCCGTGACCTTGGTGCAGCCGGCCCCAGGCCAGGACGCCCTGGCCAAGTACTTCAAGGGGGTGCGCCCGACGCTGAGCGAGGAGCTGGCAGCGCTGGCCAGCATCAAGATCACGCGCGACCGCTGCTACGGCCTGCGCAAGGCCAAGAGCGAGGAGCGGCCCATGACGTGCGCATGCCCCTGAGCGACCGGGGGGCTTTTCAACAGTTCTTCAACACTTTGCAGGCGGCTGCTGTTTGTGGACGGCCACGACCGATCCGGAGCCAGCGACGACGAGCCCCCTGAACTTGATTTTAAGAAAGACAGTGTTGTTAGCGACTGATTAAACTCGTCAAAACTGACTGCCCGTGACAGTTGACAGGGCAAATGAGTTGAACCATTGGAAAAATGCAAACAAACCGACTATTTATAGCCGCGCTTAATTGCGCGGCGACAATCATAACAACAACAAAAACACCCGATTAAGCGGCCTGGCGCGATAAGCCCGAATTCCCCAGATAACCCACGGGCCACTGATTAGTGGGCATTGTTTAGCTGTCACAGCACGTTTGACAGCTATCAATCAGCCAAAGAAGCGAATTTCAGCGGAATTTGGGGTACGACGCACATGCACACCGGAAACGGAAGCGTCTTTGTATGGGCGCAAAGGTGTCATTGACGTGACAGGACTGCCGATCAGGGGGGCCCCCCTTATTGAGGTTAGACTGGGCGGGGAGAAAACCCGGCGAAGCGGCAACGGTGGAGCACCAGCACGCCCCTGAGCCGGCCTGGGTGCAGCTGCCGCCCAGGGCACTAACAAAGAGACCGCCGTTCCGGGCCCTGCGGGCGCGCTGCCGCCCCCAAACGGGGCGCCGCCTCAGGGGGGCGCATATCAGCCGCACTTTCATTGACTGCAAGTGGGGTGGCTTACCTGTGGGGCGTAAATCCGGCTGAATGGGCGCGGGAGTTCACTAGAAACGCACTGAACGCGGCTTGATGGCGGATCGACTGGCACTGAACTGAACGGCGCACGATCGGCTCCCAAAATGGCCGCCCCAACCTTGACGGCCGCATTGCCACTTCTCCGTTGAAAACCCCCCTGTTCTCACCAGGTTTGCCCCCAAACTCAGCTAATCGCAATCAGCTAGGGGCGGCGAGCGCCCCTGGCGGCCTTTTCAAGGCCCGGGGCCTTGAAAAGGCCCCCAACTGCCCCAGCCGGGCTGGCGCCACCTGGCGACAGCCCGCCGAAGCGCCTGAAGAATGGTGCTGCGACAGGCGYAATTAATTAAGTCCTGCAGGAGTCGGCAGGCATTAAAGCGCGCTTTGGATTGTCCGCTGGTTGCCCCCAATGAAAGCCACCTGTGGGCGGCTATTTTCGGCCTGGCAGCCCGCCAGGGAAGCAAAACCGCATCCAGTGGCCCGCTGCTGTCACGCTGACAATGCTAGTCGCGCTGCTTTTCTGGGTTTTCCTTGCGGGGGGCGCAGCCCCGAACCCCGCCAGGGTCGGTGAGTGTCCCCGCTTTAACCCCTTGCAGTGGCACACATTGAACAGGCCGTTTTAGGAGTGTTTTTCGAGGGGGCGCAGCCCCTGGACGGCTGGGACCTGCCGCAACTGGAACTGGCGAGCCTGCAGGAGCCCGAAGCCGATGGCCTGGCCGCCGTTAACGCCTGTAAGTGCTTTGGCAGTCCAACAGGTGAGCAGTTTGAAGCAGCAGTGAAAAGTGGGGTTTGTGCAGTCTGCGCAGCGGCCGGCGAAGGGTTCTCGGCAGTGCTGGGGCCGCCGCTGGGGCGGGGGGCCGAGACGCTGGAGTCGCTGTGCGCGCGGCTGCAGATCCCCTTCATCCAGACGCGCTGGGCGCCCAGGCGCCCCCCRGCCGCGCCCACCAGCTTCAACGTGTACCCCGACGCCGACCTGCTGGCGCAGGGGCTGGCCGCCCTTGTGGCCAGCCTGGACTGGGAGCACTTCGTGCTGCTCTACGAGGGCGACCTGGCCATGCTGCAGGACGTGCTCAAGCTGCAGCAGTTCCGGCCCGACAGCCGCAAGAACAGCGTCATGCTGAGGAAACTGGGCGCCGGCCCCGATCACCGGTAGGTGGACGCTGCGCTGGCCGAAGCGCCTTGACGCCGCTGTGTTTTAGGGCGCTGCTCAAGGAGGTGGCGGCGCAGAACGTGCGCCGAGTGGTGCTGCATTGCGCGCCCCGGAAGGTGCGGGCGCTGCTGCAGCAGGGCATGGAGGTGGGGCTGTTGAGCGACTTCTCCACCAGCGTTTTCCTAAGCGACCTGGACGCCCACACTTTGGACTTCAGCCATCTGGAGATCGAGGCGAATGTGACGGCGGTGCGGCTGTCGCCCGCCAAAGWGCCCCTGGCGGARGCGCTGCAGCGCGACGCCCTGCTGCTGCTGGCCCGGGCGCTGCAGGGGGGCGCCGACGCGCCYCTTAGGAACTGCAGCGCGCGTCTGGGCCCTTCGGGCCTCGTGGCCGCGCTGCAGCAGGCGGCGGTGCTGGAGGGCGTCACCGGGGAGCTGCGCCTGGAGAACGGGCGGCGCGACTGGTTCGAGCTGCAGCTGATCGAGGTGCGCAGCCCCCGCAAGCCCATCGGGCTGTGGAGCGCCAGCCGCCCCCGCCACGTGCAGCTGACGCGCAACGCCACTGAAATAGAGCGCGAGTTCCGAGAGCGGATGCGCACCCACAACTTCATCGTCAGCTCCAAGTGAGTCTCTGCGCCCAGTGGGGCCCGTTTGGTGAGCTCTGATTGGTCGACAGGCTGGGGGAGCCCTGGCTGATGCCCAGCGGGGTCGGCGGCGCCTCGGGCAACGCCCGCTACGAGGGCTACGCCATGGATCTGATCGCGGAGGTGGCGCACCTGATGGGCGTCCAGTTCCAGTTCGTGCTGACGCCCAACGACTCCACCCAGGGCATCGTGGACGACCTGATGAGGCGGGTGAGTGTGGGGGCGGGGCCCGCCAGCGCCTTCAGTCTCTAATTGGCCGGGGGGCGTGTCTAGAGGGCCGACCTGGGCGTGTGCGACTTCACCATCACGCAGGAGCGCAGCGAGCTGATCGACTTCAGTCTCCCGATCATGTCCTTGGGTGAGTGGAGTTTGGGGGGTTCAGCCTGGACTGGGAGAAACCGGGGTTTTGCCCGGCAGGCATCAGCATCCTGCACAAGGAGACCGAGCAGGAGGCGATCGACAACATGTACGGCTTCATGCGCCCCTTTTCCATCAACGTGTGGCTGCACACGATCACCCTCTACCTGGTGCTCTCCATAGCGATCCTGCTGATCGCCCGCCTGGACCCCGACGACTGGGAGAACCCCCACCCGTGCAACCCGCGCCCCGACGAGCTGGAGAACATCTGGGGCTTCAAGAACTGCCTGTGGCTCACGCTCGGCTCCATTATGACGCAGGGCTGCGACATCCTGCCCAAGTAGGTGGCACCGGGGGCGTGGCCTCGCCCAACTAATCGGCTCGGGGGCGTGGTTTCCAGGGGGATTTGCTCGCGCGTGGCCACTGCGATGTGGTGGTTCTTCTCGCTGATCATGACCAGCACGTACACAGCGAATCTGGCCGCTTTCCTGACAATGTCCCGCAAAGAGGAGGCCATCAAGAGCGTGGAGGACCTGGCCAATCAGAACAAGGTCAAGTACGGTGAGTGCGCTCAAGCCACGCCCCCCAGCCGCAATGCTCTGTCAAACAAAATGTCAACATTGACATGCAGCATCCAAAATGCCTGGGGGGGGGGCGTGGCTTGACCCGATCTGGTTGCCAGGGGTGATGTCCAACGGGTCGACGCAGGCGTTCTTTCAAACGTCAGGCAACAGTCTCTATCAGAAGATGTGGGCGACGATGAAAAACGAGAATCCGACGGTGTTCGAGAGCACCAATGCGAAGGGGGTGGAGCGCGTGCTCAGCACCAAAAAGGGGCTCTACGCGTTCTTTATGGAGTCGGCGCAGATCGAGTTCGAGCTGGCGCGCCACTGCGGCCTCAAAAAGATCGACCAGTACCTGGACAGCAAAAGCTACGGCATCGGGATGCCATTGGGTGAGGCCCTGCGGGCCCCTGCGATTGGCTGGCAATTGACAGTGACGTTTCAGGGGCGGACTACAGGCGCAGCATCAACTCGGCGGTGCTGCAGCTGCAGGAGAACGGCAAAATCCTGGAGCTGAAGGCCAAGTGGTGGAAGCGCGGGGCGGTCGAGTGCGCGCAGGTAGGCCGCAGCCAATGGCGGGGGCGCGCTTAGTCAGTGGGCGTGTTCTAGGGCGGGGCCGAGGGCAACAAGGACGAGCTGGGACTGGCCAATGTGGGGGGCGTGTTTGTGGTGCTGGCCGCCGGGATCCTGCTGGCGCTGTTCTTCGCCATCGGCGAGTTCCTGTGGAACGTCTACAGCATCGCGGTGCAGGAGCAGGTAGGGGGGCGCCGCCCCACTGATTGATGTGATTGGGTGATTGAAACCCGATGTAATCTAGATGGGGTACCTGGAGGCGCTGCGCAGCGAAGCAAAGTTCGCCTGCAACCTCGGGGTGACGCGCAAGGCGGCCAAGCCCGCCTTGTCGGCGCCCCCATCCGAACAGGGCGACGCCGACGGCATGGAGCGCTGCATCCTGGCGGGCGCCGGCTCCGTGCTGAACATCAACGCCAGCCTCCTGAACCGCCTGGGGCGCCAATAAAACGCCAGTGTTACCAGAGCCCCATTTAATACAACTCACTTTCACGTGTTGATCCCGTACTTGCTCTTCATCTTGTCGATCTCCTCCTGCTTCTTGTCCAAGTCGGTCTTCTTGAACGCCTTGTTGGCCTGATAGTAGAGCACCACCAGGTAGCGGTTGCACACGTTGAAGCCCGACAGGTGGTCGCAGGCGTTCTTCGCATCGAAGATGTCCTCGTAGACCACGAAGGCGGTGCCCCGCGTCTCGGGCGTGTTCCCCACGCGAATCTGCCGGATGGCGCCGTATTTGCCGAAGATATCGTACATCTCCTCGCCGGTTATCTTGTAGGGCAGGTTCCGCACGTAGAGGATGCGGTTGATTTCGGGCGGCAAGCGCACCTGCAAAACTAGGTTAGGGGGCTGCTGGCCTTGGGGCGAACGGGGGCACTTACGTTGGTCTTCCTTTGCATCGCTAGGGCCATTTTGGGGGGCGATAACCTATAAGCTCACTCGGTGCGAACCCAAACAAACCAAACTGGACMAGTGACAGCAACGACACCAATGTCATTGGGGGATTGACAAGGACTGGGGGCGCTCAGGGGATTTGGCAACGGCGCCAGAGGCCAGAAGCTGGAGTRARTCGAGTCGAATTAAATCATATAATAGGAAAATCGTACAGGAAAACAGCAAGCTCAAATGATAATCTCGGTGTCGCCCAGCTCCTCATCGGTGGGCAGCACGATGCGATCGACGGGCAGAAAATTGGGGTCGATCAGGGGGCCGCCGGACGCTTCGCGGCGCCGCAGCTCCAGGAAGGCCTCGCGCCCCGCCCAGTCCCGCAGGTTCAGATCCGGGGCGTACGCCCACACGTAGCCTGCAACAGTGCCCGGTCACCAGCGCGCCCCATTGCCCCCCTTCACTCACCTCCAATCATCAGGCAGAGGCTGATGCCGACGAACATCAGCGAATGGTGGGCGTGCAAGTCCTCCTTCTGGTCCCGGATGTCGTAGCCGAAGGAAATCCAGTTCTTGGGCGGCGCCTTGGCGGCGGGGGCCTTGCAAACGTCCGCCGTCGCTGTTTCGTTGTTCTTCCTGTTGGAGGTGGAGACCAGCCGCCACTGCGTCGCCGGCCGCAGCTTGGGCCACAGGGCGCGGTTCAAGCCTGCCAGCAGCACCATTTTATCGCCGAATTAGTGGAAAAAGGGGCCCGAAATTGATTGCACTGCCAAGTGGGGTTAGAGCACTGTTATGTCACTGTTTTGACTAGGGTGGCGTTGCCACCTCTGCTGACGGCCACCCGACCACGCCTAGTTATCCAGTCGCAGGCTAGGAGTAATCAGTCTAGGAGTAATTTGGGGAGCTTCGGCAGGGCGGAACTTCCCCAGAGGGACTTCGGCGAATTTCCTGAAGGCTGCAATTTTTTTTGAAAATCCCCACTAGAGAAGGCGTCACTGGCTGGCAGCAGCGCAAACAGCAGGTGGGGGTTTGTTGATCAACAAAGCCGCGCTTTTGGGGCGGCGTTGCCGCCCCGTGCCCCCGTTCCCAGTTTCCCGCCGCAACTCTCCCCTAGTTGAGCGCGTGCAGCTGCCGCTAGTGGAGCAACTTGGCGCCGCCGCCCACTAGCGTCAGAGTGACATCCCAAGTTCGCAGCGCAGCTTCATCCCCCAGCTTGGCCCCAAAATCAACAATGTCTGAGCAGGTGAGTGGGGCGAAGCCCCCCATAGCGCTTCATTGACTCATTGCTTCAAGGGCGACCTGAGCCCCGATGCGGACGGCCCCCATTTCAGCCCCTCGTCCGTGTCCGCCGACTATCGCCTGTCCCTGCCCCCTTCCATGGTAGCCCTAGATAGTAGCCAGCGTTTGGGTGCTGATTGGTTGTTTTCTGCTTAGGAGACGCAGATCAGGAAGCTGAAGGTGTCGCTGGAGCCGTGGCGTCAGCTGGTGCTGCTGGCCAATCAGGTGCTGCTGTGGGAGAACTCCGCCTACCCCACGGCGCTGCTGGCAGGTAAGCCACGCCCCCTGGGCCCCGCCCGGCGCTGATCGCTCGTCTTTGGCAGGCTCCACGCTGGTTTTCGCGCTGATTTGGTTCTGCAACGCGGCCTTCGTGACGGTGCTGGCGCTGCTCGGGCTGCTGCTCACGCTGCTCGACTGTCTGATGCCCGCCATTCTGGCCGCCCTCTTCAAGCCCGACCAATGGGGCGGCGACAAGCAGCGCCAGTACGAGGAAACATGCACCAGCCTGATCATGTACAAGACCAAGGCGGAGCTGCTGAGCGCCTCCTTTCTACGGCTGCGCGTCACCAATCCCAAGATCGTAAGTGGGCGTGGTTCTGGTTGCTGTCAGCTCACCCCCCTTGTGTCCTTGTCTAGTACTTCAGCATCAGCATCGTCGCGCTCTGTCTGCTGGTGTGGGTGGGCGGCACCGTGGACAACGTGCTGCTTACCTACCTGCTGACCACCTTCTGCCTGCTGATGCCGGGCATGCTGCGCCACGGCATGCTTACCAAGCTGTCGCAGACGTCATCGCGCCTCTGCAACCAGCTGGTCGAGCACGCCAAAACGCGCGTCAGCGCCAAGAAGGCCCAGTAGCCCCCCCGCCCGTCCAGGCGGGAATTTTCGGGAAATTCCAGTGATATCGACAGACTGACCTTTTTCCTTTGCTTAGTTTAGTTGATTTTTATTAGTTAATTGAGGGTTTTGCCGCCGGTAACCTCACAAAGCCGAGCAAGTGACAGCTGTGCTGTCACGGCAATGACGTTGGACGCAGTCGCCAGCATGGGGCGAGGCGCCCTGGCGGGCGTGCGCAGCATGCAGTTGTTCGACGTGCAGCAGCCCGAGGACCTTTACAAGCTGTTCTTCTTCTGCCACCTTTTCTCCTGGCTGGTGCTGATGTGGAAGCTGCGCAACTAATCGGATAATGTCCCGCTGTCAATAAAGCGCTTTTTGGTAGTGGGGGTTTTATTGAGATGGGGCTGAGGGCCTCGCGGCTGACGTCACTGGGCGGGCGGGCAACGCCGCAACGGCCGTTGGCAATGACAACAGCCCGATTCAAACCAACACAAACATAACCTGCAGTGTCAGCGTGAGCCCCATTCGAGGCTGAAAATGGGTGAAGAATTCAATGAGGTGTGGCTGGCCGACTTGCTGCCGCTCTACTACAAGCGGCTGTTCCCCGCCGCCCTTTTCCACCGCTGGCTCAGCTACGGTAAGTCGCAGGGGCGTCACTGGGGGGCCGTGCTCAGGAAGCGGCTTGTTGCAGGGAGCTCGTTCGCGTTTGCCACGCGCGAGATCAGCTTCACCTTGCTGGGGGACGTGTACATCCGGTACCAGTCGTTCGACACTGCGGACGAGTTCGTGCAGGAGCTCTGCCGCAAAATGCCCATCAAGATCGACATTGGGGCCGTTTACCTCACCAAGCCCAGGAGCCGGAAGGTGCTGTCGGTGATGACGCCCGTGGCGAAGGAAATGGTCTTCGACATCGACATGACCGATTACGACGACGTGCGGAGCTGCTGCCAAGGGGCGGACGTGTGCCCCAAGTGCTGGCGGCTGATGGCGATCGCCGCCCGCGTCCTGGACGCCGCCCTCAGGGAGGACTTTGGCTTCCGCCACATTCTGTGGGTGTTTTCTGGACGGCGCGGTGAGTGGGGCTTCAGTCGGTGAGTGGGGCGCCATAACCAGAGCTCATCTAGCGCTTTTGCAGGCATCCACGCCTGGGTCTCGGACGAACAGGCGCGCGGTCTGGACGATGCGGCCCGCTCGGCCGTGGCCGAGTACCTGCAGGTGGTGAAAGGGGGCACCGCAAAGGGCAAGAAGGTCCACCTGCCCTCGAACATCCACTCCTCCATCCGGTAGGCTCAAGGCCCCGCAGGGCGCAGTGATGGAGTTTCCTGGTTTCAGGCGCGCCCTGGCCATAATCGAGAAGCACTTCCAGGACATCGTGCAGGAGCAGGATCTGTTGGGGGACGAGCAGCGGCTCGGCGCCTTCCTGGCGCTGATCGACAAGGAGCTGCGCCCCCAGTTCAAGGAGGCGCTGGCGGGCGCCGCCACGTCGCTGGAGCGCTGGCAGGCCTTCGAGCGCACCTTTGTGCAGCTGCTGCAGAAGGTGTGGGCAGGTGAGCGTGTGGGGGCCAGTGTAGGACCTGCTGGTTGTAGGGGCAAGTGCCGCGCGGCCAGCGGAACCTGCGGGAGGAGATCAAGCTGCAGATTGCCTACCCGCGGCTGGACATCAACGTGACCAAGAGCCTGGGGCATCTGCTGAAGGCCCCCTTTTGCGTGCACCCCAAGACTGGGAAGGTCTGCGTCCCCTTCAGCGTCAAGCACGCGGAGAGCTTCGATCCGCACGGTGTGCCCACATTGCGGTGAGTCCCAGGCAGGCGGCTGCGTGCCGGAGTTTTACTGGGGGGCCCTTGCAGGGCCATCATGGACGAGGTGGATGCGTACGACCGCAAAACCAAGGAGCAGGTGGATGGGGGCGAAGCCCCCTCGGCGCCCCACCGGGCCAGGATCCCCGACTTCAAGAAAACCAGCCTGATCAAGCCGTTCAGCTTGTTCGCGGAGTTCCTGCGCGAGCTGGAGCGGGGCGCGAAGCGCCCCCATTCGCTAGCGGATTTTTGAGGGGCCAATCAAACGCCGCCGGTGTGTAACAGGTATTTATGCAGTCTATGTACAAGATGGGGGCCGGATGGGGAATTAAATCGGGCAACACTGAACGCAGTCTTTGAGTGCCCGGGGCCCTAGCTGGAGTGCTGGCTGGGCGTCAGCCCCCCGCTGTGCTCCGGGCTGTGTTTCTGCTTCTTGCGCTTCTTCTCCTTTTTCCGCTTCTTCCGCTCCTTGTCCTCGTCGTGCCGTTTCTGTTTCTTGTGCTTCTTCTCGTGGGTGTCGCCGGCGGCGTCCGTCACCGCGGTCTCAGCCGACGGGGGCCCCCCGTCTTTGTGCTTGTGCTTCTTGTGTTTGCTCTTCCGTTTCTTCAGCGGTGTGGACGTGGTGTAGCGATACTGCTCGGGCAACTGTGGACGCAACTCATTAGAACAGCCCTAGCGCGGTTCATCTGCCTGAACTCACCGGGCCGGGGTGCAGCCGGAAGCCTTCGAGCTGCGCGCTGCTGAGCAGCAGCAGGTCTTTGCCCCCGACCGGGGGCTTCTCGATCACGCTGCGCAGCGAGCTGTTGTCCGACTGGCCTGGCAGGTCTGCAACAACCCGGTTCAGTAGTTGGGGGCTCATTTGGGGCCGCGCCACTTACCGATAACCCCGGGCAGGGTGGGCAGGAACGACGACAGCTGCTCCTTGAGCTTCTTGCCGCTGAACTTACTGTACGAGTGCTCCAGGCCATAGTAGGTCATCAAGTTGGTCGCGCCAGTGATTTCGCTTTCGCCTGCAAAACACCCGGTTAGCCGGCGCGGTCAGGCACAAGAGCTGGGGGGCTGCGCCCCCGCGTACCTGGCGGCTCTTTGAGCAGGTAGAACGGCCCGCTGGGGACTATGGAGGGGTTCTTTCCTAGTAGGATGGTCGTTTTGAGGGTTCCGGACGAGTCTTGGCGAGAAACAACCGGGGAGCGGGCGCCCCTGGGCGACGATTTCGGCGAATATTGCTCTACTTTGCGGAACTGATCGCCCATCATCTTACACCCTCATCGTTTTCACTACACAATCGACCGAAATCTAGCTTTGTGCTTCGCGTCTGACAATGTTTGTGACAGCGACGATGACATCCTGACAGCGCGGAACTGAACGGGCTGTTGCCGCCGCTTGCGGCACGCCCTTGGTGGGGTGCAAAAAACCTAGGAATTTATCACTAGTTTAGACGACAAAACCCTCTTTGAATGATCTTGTGGCGGTTTCCTCGGGCGGGGCTCGCGTGACGCTCTGGGACCCCCAAAAATCCCTTCAGTTGAARCTTCAAGCCATAGAGAAAGTAAAATAAGATTTTGTCCACTCAACGATGGTGTAGTCTAACGATGGTGGAAATTTCAAGTTGCTACTTACATTAGTTTGAAAGATGCGAATTGTTAAATGAGAAAGCGCAGTTTGGTAAAAACTTGCACTTTCATCTCCATATTTTCTGGGCCGGCAAAAATCAAGACTTTGGACGATTGCTATGAAACTTTCAGCATTTGTCCACTCAAGTATAGTCTAACGATGGTGGAAATTTCAAGTTGCTACTTACATTAGTTTGGAAGATGCGAATTTTTAAATGAGGAAGCGCAGTTTGGTAAAAACTTGCACTTTCATGTCAATTTTTTCTTATTTCACTTAATCTATGCTTCAAGCTCGCTTCGCCTCATTTCCATGAGACAACAAAGGACAGAATGACATTTGCGGTGTCAAACAGGAGGCGCTTTTGCCAAGTCTATCAATTGTCTTCACTGATCAGTTCTTTGGGGGCGCATTTTGTGCCAGTCTGGACAAGCCATAGAACACGGCTTACAAGGAACGTGAAAATGTCCAGTTAAAACATGATTCGGTTTGGAAGTTGTACATTTTTAAAAAAATCCTGATATTTTGCAAAAACACAAATTGTCACTCGTGTTTATAAATATGAAAGAAATTCACCGATTTCGTTAAAAAAAACACTTGAAAAGGATCGCGCAAATGTCAATTTCAAGCGCCTTAATGTGAAAACTGTGCCTACGCGCGGTTGGACTAATTTAAAAAAATTTTCCGCCCACAAATTTGGCGAATTTCGCCCACGTTCCAGTTAACCGGGAGCAATTTTTGACTCAATTGTTGCATCCGCATCAAGGTGGGCGTGCGACAATCGCTCCTGATGCCTGCCGGTGCAGGCCTCTGGCGCCCACCAGCGCAACCACGCGCCCTTGCGGGCGGCCGGACGGCTTGAAGGGCGCGCGCCAAGTGCGTGTCCCGTTATCGAGCGGGCCGGGCATGCGCCGCCCCGTCCCGTCCTGCCGTGGCAGCAGCAGCAGCAGCAGTGGACATTGACGGCGTTTCGAGTGCGGCAGGACAGCAGCATGTCCGCGCGTTAGTGCGGTTKTCCCGCTCTCTGGACAGGACGCTGTGTCCCATTTGGYCGGTGGCCACCCGCGCTCTGGACAGTGCACCACATCCGGTTCGCCAGGTGAGTCCCGCTCAAATCGCCCTTCATCCGCTTTGGAGGTCACCCCCACCCCCCCACGCACTCATTCAGCCAAAGTGGTTGTAGCGTGGTGATCGGTCCTGGTAGTACGCGCCTGGCTTAAGCATTGCGGTTGCCAGGCAACCGAGCCGAGTGGGCGGGTCGCCAAGCCCCCACGCAAGCGGGTGGTGGGGGCTCCATTCACTCACCAAAGTGGGGTGGGGGCCCTGGGCCCCACCAATGGAAACAGTGAAAATAGTTCAAAAAGTGGTTTATTTGGTTGCAGACAGTGACGATGGGGGCGAAGGGGCGGGAGACAGCCCCACAATGAGCCCCAATAGCCGGCGGGGCTGCGTGCGGCCGCCCCATTTCGACATACTGTAAGTACCTAGCAGGTGGGGCTGATGAAAAGGGGCTGGCCGGGCAGCTGCACGTAAATCAGCTGCTGGGGGATGCCGGGCAGGCAGTACGGGACGTACTGGACGGGGTAGCAGACATCGTCCGGGGACATTTTGCGGCAATTTGGCTGACACTCGGACCAGTTGTGACAGTGTTGTGACAGCGCCGCCATGACAACGCCATTGTTTTGCAGATGGCTGCCAAGGGCGGCGATCCGATCGGTGGAGGGCGACCCGTCCGACTGCATTCTGGTGGTGGGGGTGTCGCGGCCTCGGATGGCGCTCGCCGTCCTGCTCATCACGCTGCTCTCCTTGTTCCTCACCGTGCATCTGATCTATGACAGCGCGCTGAGCAGCCTCCATCAGCAGGGGGCGGCGCCGCCCACGCGGCCCCCCTTCTACCTGTTGCCGCGCAAGCTGCTGGCGCGCCCCACCAGACGGCTGCCGCAGGTAGGTGGGAGGGGAATGGGGGCGGGGCCAATGGTGAAGGCGTGGCTTTTGCAGGCGATCATCATGGGCGTGCGCAAGTGCGGCACGAGGGCGCTGCTGGAGATGCTCTACCTGCATCCGGCCGTGCAAAAGGCGGCCGGCGAGGTGCATTTCTTCGACCGGGACGAGAACTACTACAAAGGGCTGGAGTGGTACCGGCAGCAGATGCCCCACTCGCGCGCCGGCCAGGTGACCATCGAGAAGAGCCCCAGCTACTTTGTGACGCCCGAGGTGAGCACCCGGCGCCCCCTAGTGCGAGTTGATTTTTCGCGATATCTGCTCTGGATGAAGAGCGGGGGGGCTGCAACCTGCGCCAGAGGCTGGCCCTTGGCCCTCTGCGCTTTTCATCAAGGGGCCCCTTTGGCGCTCAGCCCCACCGTTTGGGCGCAATGCGCCAAAATGCGCCCTTCGCATCCGCGCGTAATGGAAGCGAAAATGCGCAAACTTTAAAAATTCCCCAAAAAATCCCTAAGGATGGCAGCGAATCGAAACTTTCACACATGGTAGGCCTAACTCTTCTGCTTTTAACGCAACAAACCCGGAATTTCCAGCATTTCTGGTTGGGACGCAATGAAATTTTCAATCGTCCATCGCATCCGCGCGTAATGGAAGTGAAAATGCGCAAACTTTAAAAATTCCTCCAAAAATCCCTGATGATGGCAGCGAGTCGAAACTTTTACACATTGTAGCCCCGACTCTTCTTCTTTTAACGCAACAAACCCGGAATTTCCAGCATTTCTCGTTGGGGCGCAATGAATTTTTCAATCGTCCATCGCATCTGCGCGTAATCGAAGTGAAAATGTGCAAACTTTAAAAATTCCTCCAAAAATCCCTGATGATAGCAGCGAATCGAAACTTTCACACATTGTAGGCCCGACTCTTCTTCTTTTAACGCAACAAACCCCAAATTTCCAGTATTTCTGGTTGGGACGTAATGAATTTTTAAATCGTCCATCGCATCTGCGCTTAATCGAAGTGAA